CTCATAATTTGTCATCCATTAGACATGGATAACCTCGAGATAGGTTCAGGAGGGCATGTCCCATTGAAGTCCCATTTACCAAAGAAGTTGAACTTCCGGATTAGATGTAAACCCGCTCAAAGGATACGAAGTCCATTTGGCCCACGCAATTTGTTAAGCGGGAATAATACCAACCCCAAATATGAGGTTTTTCGCTGAAATTAATGCATTTCTGTGACGTTGATGATCCTATTTTGGTTTTCCAAAACGATATGCACTAGGGAAATTGAATACCGTGAATACTGAATTCTTCATCAAAATTGCATTCAAGCCGCAACGAAGACATTTATTTGAAAATCAGCTTCCAGCATTAAAAGAAGCCATTCCGACGGGTATGACATGGGAATAAATTAATTATTGTCCTTAGTTTTTCAAACGAAAAAATGCAACGTCGTATGAGTTGCAACATGATCGACCTGAAGACTTCTTCATGGAACCTCGTGCTTCTGCGAACTACGATAGCCCTGTCCGAGAAGTAAATTTCTGCATAATGTAAAGCGCCATCACTATCACGCATGCGTGGTCCGAGGACCAAAAAAAAAATTCTAACCCAGGCCGAAGAAGAATTCCATCCCTCTTAGGTCGGTTTCAGACTCGTTTGGAAGGATCAACTGAGGGCACTGGCTTGAATAACGGGTGGCCACCAGAAGTCATTGTATAGGCCACATACGCATTCAAAATGCCAACGACCCTAAAGGAAATTCGATTGTGGGGCGCATCCTAGAAAGGGATTAGTCAACGTCTAATGGCTTGCTTTTTCCTCTGTGACTGCTATGTACTGGATACGTTGTATTTTTGGAGTCCCTACAGTACGGTATCTCACGAGAGCAACTTGTGTCACTGAAGCTCGATTGCTTCTCCAAACTGCATTCGGAAAGTATAATATTCCTTATCCGGACCCCTTTCCCTTGTAAACACCCTGCATGAACTTATGATCAGGTTTATCCCTTCTGCATTAGAAAGGAAGCGGCTAGTAACAGTTCTGCAATCCTAAAACCCAGCCTTTCAAGAAAAAAATATTTGACAGTCTACAGTAAACAGTTTAGTCAACAAGTGGAAGTACCTCTACAACCGGCTACACTTTCAATGGTCAAACGAATGCCATAAAACTATAACCGATTTCGATAAAAAACGCTCCACGGCTTCAAGAAATTGAACTCTGAGTCAATTGTTGAATGGCTGCAACCTCATTAACTACTCAGTGCCCGTTCAATTCAGGCCATAGGCGAGATGCACAGAGATTTATTCTCAGAACATGCCCATGTTGCTTGACCTGTTTTACGAATTTTTAATGAATTCATATCATTTATATATGTACATGACATAAAAAAGTGAATTTCATATGAAAAATTCAAATTTGATCCAACAACATCGCTACCCGTTATAAATGCTAGTAGAATGACAATATTTCTGACAAAAACAACACCGTTACGAAAAATATAACAATATGACGAAACGTTTCACTACGTCTGTAACCTTCGCTTGTAATTCACCAATACTAATGACCGTAACGGACCCGAGAATGTTTGCGCCACGTGCTCCATGAATGACTGTGATTGGTGCGACACGAATTCCACCAGTCATACGCATACGAAGCACGCCGGACATCTTTAACCAGCCCATTTCCCCTCTTCACCCCTAATATTCACGTTGGAAGCGAATATATCGAATTCGCTCATATTTCAGGATTCTGATGATGAGTATACCTTCTCAGTGATGGTCCCTGGGTCTTTCGGGTTTTCAGTGGACCTAAAGGTGACAGCAGTAGTGAAAAGTCATCTATGTCCTAAACTAACAACTAACACAAGTGATACACGGTAAAATGTGAGCAACATCAACAACGAATTCCGTCGAAATGGCACTGAATGTCTGAGAATGAGTATACTAACACTTATTACAAAGTAAACATACAATACAAACAGCATTTCAAAGTAAACAACTATTGAAAGGGCTCATCTGCAATGGACAATATGTCAAAACGGTAACCGGCTAAACTAAAAACTATAGTTCTACTAAGATGCGATTCACGTCGAATCAACCACAATCATGCAAAACATGGAGGTATCCGGACGATAACGCTATACATTTCACCAACCACCTAACCACACACAGCGATTCCTGATGCGAACAAAGATACGGTAAGCAGACGATCAGGGTACGGTCACGTCACGATCGCCTTCGGTTATTGAGACCATCATCGTGTTTTTATGAGGTCGTATGAGGTCCTTACTCGAAACACCTGAGATCCTTAATCAGCAATGACCAACCTCCTGCAACGCGAACGCGCGCGTCTGAGCAGGTCTCAACGCTTCTTCACTTTTGTCAATGGTCTCCACTTGAATCACATCCCAGGGCGCTATACGCTACACGTCATATCCGAATACCGTAGATATACCCATAAACGACTTGTTAATAACCTCCATTGGGTATATAGAGTGGACTGTGCTGACATGACATCATTTGAGTTGACCAGAGAAGATTCGGTGATATTGACGATGACGGTGAGTTTGGAAGAGATCTGAATTGAACTTGTGGCTATAGACTAAGTGCTTACTAAAAGTGTTTTCAAATTTGACCTTTTAAACAACATGAAAAAAATAGAATAAAGTTGGCTGAATTTGAGGAAACTCAAAAACTTCAAAATTCTTTACTGATAAGTCGTAAGTACCCAGAAGGCCTCCGAAATATAATATTACGTCACATGATATTTCGGTACGTAGCTCCCTCACCAAACTTGAACTTCTGACAGTTTGAAGTTAAATCCATTTTGGGTTGGAACCTGCACCCGAACGCCATACGCGCTGCGCGTAAGAGCGCGCCGTGTGATGACAAGATTTAAATTCTCAGGGGATGATTACGGTCACTGCGGCGAAACCGTAGCCGCGTGCTTGCCTGCGACCGTGGGAATTTGGGTACAAGGTCCACCACCTATTTTTGCAACATTCTAAAAAGTTGTTCTGCAAACATGACACTATCTACACTACCAGCAACTACTATTAAAAATCTGTTTTACACTGCAAAGCGATTTAGTTTATGAACCCCCGCGAATCCTGACCAATGAAACCCAAGCTAAGCCCTCCGCGCGACTTCAAAGGACACGCTCGGTATTATATGAGTGAGTCCTGGCGCGAATAGGTATTAGAACGCCCATACCAGGAATGTAAGGCAGGTAAGTGAGGCGAGTAATGTAAGTGCCAATCCCCTATGCATGACACGTTGTTTCTGACAACTATGGTTACTACGTACCGTAATATCGTCTGCCGCAATAAGACTTTTCAACAGACCTCCTCATTTTCTTTTCAGACCTTCAGGTATTAAATACTTGTAGCCTCTTTACTCATCTGAATCTTCGTTAAAGTATAAAAAACTCACTCCTCAAAGTTAGCCAATGAGAATGATTGGCTGTTTGTAGAAGGAAACGTGCTCAATGAATCAAAATCGTCTGATAATGGATCCGATAAGGATAGCGATCTGAACAGGCTGCCCTTCACTAGCAAAAACGTCCGTGTCATTGGTGTGTGTCTTTTGGTCAGGAAGACAGGAAGCTGGAGCAAGCAAATTCGCTGTTGATCACGCGCATAATATTCATACGGCAGAATGATCCATCGCATAGCGGAGCCCTCGCGACATCTGCCGCGCGCGGCAATTACGCTCTATGGCCCACTTGTGCGAATTTCCCGCGGGGTATGTTACGAACCTGCGTCCGAGGATGCGCGCGGCAAATTGCGCGGCGAAGTTCGTAATATTTTGAACGAGTTCGGTGCGTGTCACTGGGGCCCAAATTTCAAATAGAGTGGATTATGAGGATCATCCGACCCTACTACACTACACTACTTCGAGTTTGTGCCCCGAAAATTGGCGCCTCAATCGTACAAATCGTCACGATCTTTGCCGCGCAATTCGCCGCGTGCACCCTCGGACGCACGTTCGTACCGTCCCCTTTCCCGCGCTCTGAGTAACCTATCCTGCTCATTCTCCATCACCCCTCCCCCC